GCACTTTTTCCCATTTTTTTGCCACTCATTTTTTTCCGTCGTTGTCGTCTTCTTCTTTTGCCATGGCTCAGCTTTAATGGCAACACCCATTATTTGTGTAAGGAAATTGTTTTGAAGATGTTTGATTTGATTTCATTTTACGAGCTGAGCTGAGCTGGCTGGCTGACTGACTTACTTGAATGCCGTTTGCCAGCATTGATTCTTCAGCGATGTGTGATGTCGTTGCTCTTTAAAGATTGTGAAATCGTTAAAAAGGGTTTGATTTGATTTTTTTCCGTTGTTGTTGTTGTTTTTGTCTTCTTCATGTGTTTAGCTCTGCTGCTGATTTCCAAGCGTATTGAGATCACTAACTCACCTAGATTTTTTGCTATTTATTTTTGGTTCGCTTCTTTTCCTCAGACACCTTCTCAAATAAAGGCTTGTTAATAAAGAGGTGTTCCCCTGCTGCTGCTGCTGCCTTCAATGTAATCGAATCGAATCGCATCGTATTGAGTATGTGAATATAGTTAATTATATAGCTGGAGAGTGCTAGACATTTGCAAGTAGGCGTTAAATGTAGACTATGCAATGTAGAAAGTTATTCAATACTCTGTCGGAAGATATTTCCCTCTTTTGGGTATGGATACAAGGTGGGGTTTTGAAATTAAACGAAAAAAAAAAAAACAAAAAAAAAAGAAAATATTTGTTATGGTCTATCAAAGGAATACAATGAGACAAGCATTTTGTTTCAGTCACAAATATGGGTCAGAAGTTACAGAAAAAAATAACAAAAAAATATTTCTATAGCCATAGAATTTCTCAAAATATTTTTCAAGCCAAAATCATCAGGAAAATCCTCGTTTGTAAATGTTGTTGGAAATGTTTGTAAATGAATGTTGAAATAATATTTTTAAAAAATCCACGCCTGTAAAGGTTTGATGAAAAAATATTTTTAAAAAAATCCACGCCTGTAAAGGTTTGATGAAAAAATATTTTTAAAAAAATCCACGCCTGTAAAGATTTGATGAAAAAATATTTTTAAAAAAATCCACGCCTGTAAAGGTTTGATGAAAAAATATTTTTAAAAAAAATCCACGCCTGTAAAGGTTTGATGAAAAAATATTTTTAAAAAAAATCCACGCCTGTAAAGGTTCGATGAAAAAATATTTTAAAAAAATCCACGTCTGTAAAGGTTTGATGAAAAAATATTTTTAAAAAAATTCACACCTGTAAAGGTTTGATGAAAAAATATTTTTAAAAAAATTCACACCTGTAAAGGTTTGATGAAAAAATATTTTTAAAAAAATCCACGTCTGTAAAGGTTTGATGAAAAAATATTTTTAAAAAAATCCACGCCTGTAAAGGTTTGATGAAAAAATATTTAAACAAAAATCCACGTCTGTAAAGGTTTGATGAAAAAATATTTTTAAAAAATCCACGCCTGTAAAGGTTTGATGGAAAAATATTTTTAAAAAAATCCACGCCTGTAAAGGTTTGATGAAAAAATATTTAAAAAAAAACCACGCCTGTAAAGGTTTGATGAAAAAATATTTTTAAACAAATCCGCGCCTGTAAGGCTTGATGAAAATATATTTTTTAAAAAATCCAAGTCTGTAAAGGTTCGATGAAAAAATATTTTAAAAAAATCCACGCCTGTAAAGGTTCGATGAAAAAATATTTTAAAAAAATCCACGCCAGTAAAGGTTCGATGAAAAAATATTTTAAAAAAATCCACGGTTATAAAGGTTTGATGAAAAAATATTTTTAAAAAATTCGACGCCTAAATGTAGTCTTTTAAAAATATTTTTAAAAAATTCGACGCCTAAATGTAGTCTTTTAAAAATATTTTTAAAAATGCCACGCCTAAAAGTAGCCTTCTAAAAATATTTTTAAAAAATCCACGCCCATAAATAGTTTTTGAAAAATATTTTTAAAAATGCCACGCCTAAAAGTAGCCTTCTAAAAATATTTTTAAAAAATCCACGCCCATAAATAGTTTTTGAAAAATATTTTTAAAAATGCCACGCCTAAAAGTAGCCTTCTAAAAATATTTAAATAACTTCAAACAGCCAATGAAACCGTCACACGCTGCCCGAATATTGCACTGCGGTATTTTGGCCCATACCCGGCGAATTCCAGACACAATAGTCCAACGGATTGGTATCCGGAGATTTTGGTGGCCATTGTGCGCTGGAAACGAAGCGAGGAACCTCATTTTGTTACCATTCTTGGGTGGCGCGTGCTGAGTGCGATGGTGCTGAGTCCTATTGGAATGTCCGAGGTCAGCGACCAAAATGTTTGTGCGCCCAAGGCGTTAATACACCCTCCAGAATATTTTCGTTATAATATTCGGCATTTATTCTGATGCCACGGTTGATTAATACGAGCGAAAAGCGACCATCGGCTGTTATGGTGGCCCACACAATCACCATGGCCGGCGCTTAAGTTCTGGTGGCCAAGTAACGACGATCCTTTTGTTTGTTTACAAACTGCTGGACAACGAAGGTTTTCTCATCGGAGAAAAACAAATTCGGGAGTTCACCACTTTCGGTAGTGCCTTGTTTTTTTTTTAATATTTTTTTAGGGAAAAAAATAGTTTCCGAGAAGGGATATATTTACTTACTTTCAGCCTATTTTAGAAAATATAAAACAATTTTATTATTTTATTTTCGAATTTCCTTTATTTCATTTTCTATAAAAAATGTTCACATTATTGTATAAAAATAATTTAATAATTTATTTATTTTATTTATTTTATTTTTATAAAACTATGCTGCTATATAATAAAGAAAGCATTTGCTAATTGACTACAAAAATAATAATAATAATATTTTTCTACAAATGTTTGGATTTATTATTAATACAAAATACACATTGTTCTATACAAAATGAATAAAAAATATTATCAAATAATACAAAAATTTTAAATTCATTAAAAAAATTAAATATTGTTAACTAAAGGGTAAACTAAAATAAATTCATAAATTTTAAAGTTTTTCACAATCATTTGCTAATTTTGTTCTTAAATAAATTCTATTGAAAAAATTCTCCTATTGACACTTCAAATCTAGTATTGGGATTCACAAGACAATATTGAGAGATTTTTTGAGGATGAATTGGAAAAATAGAAACTAAAAAATTAGAAAAAATAAAAATTAAAAAAATAGAAATTTAAAAAAATACAAAAAACTAGACGATAAAAAATAAAAAAAAAAATACTAAGGAAAAGCCAACGTCAGGCGGGGCCGACTATATTATACCCTACACCACTATGCATATTTAGTAGGGCTCCCGTAACAAATGAATTTATTTGAAGTAGATCATACCACCTATCAATATTTGGTTTTAGAGCAGTTTTAGTTTGGTTTCAGAGGGAAATATTGGGGGCATATTCAATTCTGAATCGATTTTCACTAATTTTGACGAAGAACTTTATATCTTTCTTTTATACCAAATAATATTGCTATAGAGTGTATTATATCACTTCGAGAAGGATTATATTAAAACAAGTAAAAAACATTAAGTTCGGCCAGGCCAAACTTTTAATACCCTCCACCTAAAGGTAAAGGAAACATTAGAGCCCATTATGACCCGCATATACCAATTTTTAGACATATTCATGGGAAAATGTGCCAAAAACCATTAAAATGCCGAATATCAGGAGGTACCGTTATATGGGGGCTATGCCAAATCGTCGACCTATACATGAAATGTTTCGCCATGGAGCTAGAACCTATTATGAACTACAAATACCAAGTTTCAGACAAATCCGTGAAAAAAATTTGGCAAAAATCATCAAATTACCGAATATCGGGAGGTACTGCTATATGGGGACTATACCAAAACGTGCACCTCTACATGCAATGTTTTGCCACACGAACTGGGATCCATTAGACCTACAAATAACAATTTTCAGACAAATCCGTGAAAATATGTGGCATAAATAATCAAAATACCGAATATCGGGAAGTACCGTTATATGGGGACTATACCAAAACGTGAACCGATATATCTCATTTTTAATACCAACCATCCTAGACACAATACAAATTGCTCTGCTTAATTTTGACGCTCTACGTCAAATAATGTGGGCTGTATCGTGATTTCAACAGACAGACAGACGGACACTTAAAACCCCATATCAGATGAAACATATATATGGCAGCTATAGCTATATTTGAATCGCTTTTCACCAAATTTGGTGTACTTGCTTCTAGACTTAATTCGGTCGGATGTGCTTAGATTCAAGTCATTTGTACTGAAATTGGCCATTTGGCGCACAATTAACCCGAAATCGGTTGAAGATATATGAGAGCTGTCTATATCCAAATCTGAATCGATCTTGATAAAATTTGGCAGAGGTATTTCTGGGATGTATCAGACATTTGGTACCAAATATCATTGTTGTGGAGTGAATATTACGCAGGTGAGGACTTAAAACTCCAAATCGGATGAAACATATATATGGGAGCTATAACTATATATGAACCGATTTTCTCCAAATTTGATGTACTTGCTTATGCACTGAATTTGGTCAGACGTACCAAAATTCAGGTCATTAGGACTTTTATTGGCCATTTGGTGCACAATTAACCCGAAATCGGTTGAGGATATATATGGCAGCTATATCTAAATCTGATCCGATTATCACCAATTTCAATAGGGTTCGTCCTTGGGCCAAACAAATATTGTTTGCAAAATCTCATCTAAATCGGATAATAAATCCGACCTAAATTTTGTTCACAAAAATACATCGACGGACAGACTGACATGCATAAATCGACTCAGAAGTAACTATGGGTATATCTCGCTTCCTTCTCCCTGTTTCAAATAAATACACAAAGACATAATACCCTTACACCTATGTCGTGTAGGGCACCATGATTTGGAATTTTGAAAGATTTGATTAAAAGAAATACGGAATTTACGATAATTATAAAAACTCCGAAATTATGTGTTCGAAAACTCTGATTGTGATTTTTTATATTTTTTCTTATCCCTTAAGAAAAAGGGGATCCAATCTAAAATTTCCAATTTATTACCCACTTGAAATTATGTAAAATGTTCTCTTTTAATTCACAGGACTTTTCCAATTTTTCCGGAAAAATTTATTTTATATTTTCCGGTATTTTTTTTTTAAATTATCTTTTTTAATTTCAATTAGTTCAGCTATATTTCATTGATGTGCAAAACTGCCCAAAAACGTACGCTAGTGGCATTGGTTATACTTGTATTCACTTTTCTCTGTTTTCGGTGGCGATTTTTGATGGTGAGTTCTCTGTAAAGATCATACACTCACTCACTCTCTCTCTTTAAGTTTCCTCAAAACTCTCTCTCTAAGTGTGAAAAAATTATATTCCTAGGCCTTGAATAGAGGCAGATCTATATCATCATTTCTCCCTCTCTCTTATCTCACTCTCTCTCTCTCTCTCTTGCACTGTGCAATTTATAATTATTTTTTTAAATTTCTGTGGGTATACTTCCCGATTCCTCCAATTTTTTATTCTACTCTGATAGTTTCCTCTTCAAACCAGATTTATCCCTTTCCCTCCTTTTTTATTCCTTTATTTCTCCCAAAGCTTGAAAGATATAGTGATCTCTTTTACTCATCTCGATCTGCAGTTTCTCAAATTTTCTGTGTCAAATCCAATGCCGCTGTTCCCAATTTAGCAATTTTCCTGGGTATCTCCTCCGGCTCCCCCAATTTGTTACTCTCCTCAGAAAGATTTCTCTTCAAATTCGATTTTTCATGATCTCTTTTTCTAATCAATTCCTCCGAAGTCTTCCACGGATCCAAAACCCTCGCGGTCTTTTCCTTTTCATTTTCTGTTTCAGAGGACGAGGAGGATGAATCACATTTATCATTAGCCCTAATCTGGGCCCCCCTGCCACTACTCTGACTACCCTCACTGACCGTGCTGGTCACCGAGCTCACAGCTTTCATGCTTAAATCGATGGGATTGTCTTGAGAGTTATGTTCGGCATTGGGGTTTTGAGATTTTTCATCATCACATCTGGGATGGGGACCATCATCAACCTCCAAGGGGGAGTGGGGTGGGGTCATTGAAACCACTAAATCTTCATCTTCTTCCTCATTTGCATTATTTTCTTCGCCCACATTTCTAGACCTCTCTCCATCATGGCCATTGGCTTGGGTTTCGTGGGAGCGGTTTTTATTCGGACTCTCCTCCCTCTCTTGTTCCTCCTCCTCATTACTTTGGCGGGAATGATTGTGTTGAGCCCTACCACTCTCCGAATTGGGTGTTACCAGGGCACTAATGGAATGATCATGTTTGCTGAGATTCGGCAATTTGGTGGCTGGTGGAGGGCTATGGGCCTGCTGCTGTTGCTGGGATTTTAGTACCGCATCCAAATAGAATCTCTTGGTTAACTCCTCGGCAGCCTTACTGCCATTGGGTATGTGATTATTGTTCAAGGCATCGGATCGAGGACTATCAGGTTTATCTTCGGACGGGGTTAGTTTGTGATGACTCTCATGCATGGCCAGGGGACTGGTGGTGGGATTGGGAACACCATGAAATCTGGGAGAATTTTGAAATAATTGATGCATTGCTGCGGCGGCAACCTGTTGCTCCGGTGAGGGTTTCAGCAGCCCTGCATGGGCATGTTGATAGAGGGCAGGATGATAGCCGGGGAACAGCAAATGTGATGGAGGTAGAAAACTGGGTGGTGGCATGACAGGCATTGATGACAGGGCGGGAAATGACAAGGGCAAGAAGGGCGGTAGATCTTTCCTCAGGGGATGGGGTGCAGGAACATTGGCATTTGTGGAGGCAGAGGAACCGGAGGCTGATTCGGCGGCAACATGTTTGGCGGATAAGTGCAGCAAACCGGGATTACTGGCCGCCACCCCTCTACCATTTACCTCCCCTGAATTATCCGAGTTATGGGAATCCGGCGAACTAACCGAGGGTGAGGTTACCGGATGTTTGGCATATTCTTCCAGGCTCAACATCATCAATTCTTCTTTGGTACGTGGTGGATAGAGCCCTGGATAGGCTCCGGCATGGCCCAGCATACCTAGGGCTGCAGCCGCGGCAGCTGGTGGTGGTATACCACCCCGGGCCGCCAACAAACCCGGATGATGCCCCGCCGTTTGATGCTGTGCCTGTTGCTGTTGTTGATGCTGATGATTTTGCTGATGCGCCGCCATGGCAGCTGCCGCCTGTTGCTGCTGTTCCTGCAACAGACAATGGATCTTAAACCAATTCGATCGGCGTCCATAACGGGAGCCACTCTTGGACATGCCCACCATCAGACATTTGCGCAGGCGGCAAGCCTTGCAGGCTGTGCGATTCTTTTTGTTGATGATGCATTCGCCGTTGTTTTTGCAATCCGAGATGGAAGACAAATTGTTGTAGGAGCGGCCGAAAAATGACTGAAATGGAAATGGAGAAGACGAGAAAGAGATGAGAATCAAATGGAATGGAATTAAATCGATTTTTAAATAAAAAAAATATTTAAAAAAATACAAAAATTAAAAAAAAAATAGAAAATAACGACGTAAATATTTGGAAGAGGTCAGGGGAGTTCATATAGACGAAATGAAGGTCAGGCAGTTCATAATGACGAGCAAAAGGCAGAGGGTCCATACAAACGGGCTTAAGGCTAGGGAGTCCATAAAAACGAGCTGTAAGAGGCCAAAGAGCCATATGGACGAGCTGGATAGCAGGGTGTCCATATAGACGGGCTGAAGACCAGAAAGCCCTTAAAGCCCAGCTGAAGGCCAGAAAGTCCTTAAAGACCAGCTGAAGGCCAGGGAGTTGAAATAGACGGGTTGAATATCAGAGTGCCCATATAGACGAGTTGCAGGTCAGAGTGCCAATATGGACGAGCAGGAGGCCAGAGAGCCCATATAGATAAACAGAAGGCCAAAGAGTCCATATAGATGTGCTGGATTCCAGTGAGTCTATATAGACGAGCCGAAGGCAATATGGACGAGCGGGACGCCAGGGAGTCCATATAGATGAGTTGAAGGTCAGGGAGTCGATATAAATGTACTAAAGCCCGGGAGAGCTCATATGGACGAGCGGAAGGCCAGAAAGTCCATATAGACGATCTGGAGGCCAGAGAGTCCATGTAGACGAGCTGGGGGCTAGAGAGTCCATATAGACGAGCTGGGGGCCAGAGAGTCCATATATAGACGAGCTGGAGGCCAAAGAGTCCATATAGACGAGCTGGAGGCCAGAGAGCCCATATAGACGAGCTGGAGGCCAGAGAGTCCATATATAGACGAGCTGGAAGCCAGGGAGTCCCTATAGACGAGCTGGTGGCCTGAGAGTCCATATAGACGAGCTGGAGGCCAGGGAGTCCATATAAACGAGCTGGAGGCCAGGGAGTCCATATAGACGAGCTGGAGGCCAGGGAGTCCATATAAACGAGCTGGAGGCCAGGGAGTCCATATACGCGAGCTGGAGGCCAGGGAGTCCATATAGACGAGCTGGAGGCCAGGGAGTCCATATACGCGATCTGGAGGCCAGAGAGTCCATGTAGACGAGCTGGGGGCTAGAGAGTCCATATAGACGAGCTGGGGGCCAGAGAGTCCATATATAGACGAGCTGGAGGCCAGAGAGTCCATATATAGACGAGCTGGAAGCCAGGGAATCCCTATAGACGAGCTGGAGGCCAGGGAGTCCATATAGACGAGCTGGAGGCCAGAGAGTCCATATAGACGAGCTGGAGGCCAGGGAGTCCATATAGACGAGCTGGAGGCCAGGGAGTCCATATAGACGACCTGGCGGCCAGGGAGTCCATATAGGCGAGCTGGAGGCCAGGCAGTCCATATAGACGAGCTGGAGGCCAGGGAGTCCATATAGACGAGCTGGAGGCCAGGAAATCCTTATAAACGAGATGGAGCCAAGGGAGTCCATATAGACGAGCTGGAGGCCAGGGAGTCCATATAAACGAGCTGGAGGCCAGGGAGTCCATATACGCGAGCTGGAGGCCAGGGAGTCCATATAGACGAGCTGGAGGCCAGGGAGTCCATATACGCGATCTGGAGGCCAGAGAGTCCATGTAGACGAGCTGGGGGCTAGAGAGTCCATATAGACGAGCTGGGGGCCAGAGAGTCCATATAGACGAGCTGGAGGCCAAAGAGTCCATATAGACGAGCTGGAGGCCAGAGAATCCATATAGACGAGCCTGGAAGCCAGAGAGTCCATATAGACGAGCCTGGAAGCCAGAGAGTCCATATAAACTAGCCTGGAAGCCAGAGAGTCCATATAAACGAGCCTGGAAGCTAGAGAGTCCATATAGACCAGCTGTAGTCAAGGGAGGCTACATAGACGAGCTAGATGTGGTGAATGCCGAGGAGTACATACACACAAGCTGGTGTTCAGGGGACCCATACGGACCAGCTGAAGGCCAAAAAATCCATTTAGACAAGCCGGATGCCTTGGTTACCTCAGGGTCCGGGAGAATTCAACATGGGAATATTTTTTTTCTTTTTTAAATATTTTTTTTTATAAAAATTTCAATTAAATCAGTTTTGAAAAAAATAATTAAAAACAGAAAAAAACTAAATCACACCGAAATCCTTCCCATCCAACTAGCACCCTTCCTCTCTCTCTTTCCCTCTCTCTTGGCTGTCATTATCAAATCATGTTTGGCCCATTGACTGTTAACGCTAATTTGTAGCCAAGCATTAGTTGCCAGGGCCTGAAGAGCAAAATTTCTACGTAGGTGTTTTTCGGTTTGGTTTTGGATTTCAACGATTTGGGTTTTTTGTAGGTGTAGGTTTGGTTTGGTTTTCGGGTTAGTCTCGCTGCCCGGCTGGCAACATATCCGCTGTGTATATTTTGTTTGGTTTGCCTTTATTTTGAGTCATTAAGATTTATGTTTTGGTCCAAAGTAATTTGCTGCCTTAAAGTGATTAATTTGTCAACAAAATTAAAATTAATTTATATCGTGATTTTAAAGCTGCCATGATATTTATGAGTTCAATTCTGACAAACGAAGGCGACGAAGCATCGACGACGCCAACGACAATGTCCAACAACTTATAATAACATTCAATATTTTGTTGTTTCAGTTTTTTTTTTTGGTTTGTCTTAAATGTCAATTGGAAGGCAAGTACAACTGCCAAAGGTATGGTAATCAATATGTCATTGATATATGGGTGTTATTAACCCATTGGGGGATGTTTGGAAATACTGAAAATTTTCAAATTTTGTTAGAAAAAATAAAAACAATAATAATTACAAAACTCCTCATTTCTTCAATTTCCTCCTCATGTAGTCCATGATTTCAGCCTTAAAGTATACCACAAGTGGACTTGGATTTCTTGCATAAAATTGGCCAGAAGTTGCCCTTGAATTTTTTTCAGGACAAAATAATAGAATTAAATTAAAATTTCCAACTTGATATAGGTTATGAGAACTTGCAATTTCATCCGGAAGGTTGCCATGATTTTTTCTCAAATTCAGCCTAAAAGTCGGGCAGGGCAAACTATATAATACTCTCCACCAATATGCGCATATAGTAGAGCTCCCGTAACAAAAAAAAAAAATCATATTGGGGATTTATGTATAGTTGATCATACCAACTATGAATGTTTTTTGAATGCGTATCACGGCTTTAGAGTCGTCTCAATTTGGGACAATTTTCTGTCACAGCTTGTAGTACCCATTAAGATCACCACATGTGAGATTTGAAACAATTCCAGAGAATAATGTAGCTAAAATCATAATAATATTGGGAGGTACTGTTGTAAGTGGGCTATACGAAGACCTGGACCTGTACAGCCAATATTCTGTCACAAGCTGAAGTATCCATTACGAACTTCAAATACTAAATTCGAAATAGTTCCGGTAAATAATGTCGCTAAAATCATCAAAATACCGAATATCGGGAGGTACCATTATATGGGGGCTATATGAAGACCTGGACCTGTACAGACAATTTTCTGTCATAGGCTGTAGTATTCATTACGAACTTCAAATACCAAAATTGAAACAATTCCGGTAAATAATGTCGCTAAAATCATCAAAATACCGAATATCGGGAGGTACCGATCTATGGGGGCTATACCAAAAGGTAGACCTACATGGCCCATTTTAAATTTCAAAAGTCCTGCAGACCAAGCACACATTTGAGTAAAATTATATAAACCTACTTCAATTCGTTCGGAGGCTAGAGTGATTTCCACAGACTGATACGAAGACCTGGACCTGTACAGCCAATATTCTGTCACAAGCTGTAGTATCCATTACGAACTTCAAATGCTAAATTTGAAATAGCTCCGGTAAATAATGTCGCTAAAATCATCAAAATACCGAATATAGGGAGGTAAAGTCATATAGGGTGGCTATACCAAAAAGTGGACCTATATGGTCCATTTTCATTTTCAAAAGCCCTGCAGACCAAACATACATTTAAGTAAAATTATATCGACCTACTTCAATTCATTCGGAGGCTAGAGTGATTTTCACAGACTGTCAGACGAACGGACGGACAAAAATCGACATAGAATTTTATGCAGATCATGAGGGGTCTAAAATTTTTTTTCGAGGTATTACGAACGAAATGACATATTAAATATAGGGTTACTATGGTGGAGGGTATAAAATAGATATACATATATGGTGGAGAATAACCTTAAATCGGATGAAGATGTATATCAAAGCTATATAAAAATCTGAACAGATCTCGACAAAATTTGGCACAGGTACTTTTCGAGCTGTATCTGATGTCCGGTTTCAAATATCCTTATTTTTGAGTGCATATTACGAATGTGAGGGACTTAAAACCCCAAATCGGAACCGATTTTCACCAAATTTGAAATACTTGCTTCTGGGCAGAATTCTTTTGGATGTGCCAAAATTCAGTCTTTCTGGGTTGATATTAGCCATTTGATGCACAATGTACCTGAAATCGGTTAAAGATATATATATGGGAGCTATATCCAAATCTGAACCAATCTCAATAAAATTTGGCAGAGGTGTTTTTGAGCTATACCTGATGTCCGGTATCAAATATCCTTGTTTTTGAGTGACTTAAAACTCCAAATCGGAAAAAACATATATATGGGAGATATAGTTATATCTAAACCGATTTTCACCAAATTTGATGAACTTGCTTCCTGGCTAAATTCCTTTGGAAGTGTCAAAATTCAGTCCATTTGGGCTGATATTAGCCATTTGGGGCACAATTAAAGCAAAATCGTTGGAAGATTTATTTGGGAGCCATTTCCAAATGTGAACCTATCTTGATAACAATTACATTGAACAGGTATTTCCGAGCTCTATAAGTTATCTGGTACCAAATATCTTGGTTGTCGAATGCATAGGAATTTAAAACCTCAAATCGGACGAAATAGAGGTATGAGAGCTATAGCGATATGTCTGAACCGATTTTTGCCAAATTTTAAGTACTTAAGTC